CAGAGCAGAGCAGAGCAGAGCAGAGCAGAGCAGAGCAGAGCAGAGCAGAGCAGAGCAGAGCAGAGCAGAGCAGAGCAGAGCAGAGCAGAGCAGAGCAGAGCAGAGCAGAGCAGAGCAGAGCAGAGCAGAGCAGAGCAGAGCAGAGCAGAGCAGAGCAGAGCAGAGCAGAGCAGAGCAGAGCAGAGCAGAGCAGAGCAGAGCAGAGCAGAGCAGAGCAGAGCAAAAACAGAACAGAGCACAATACCTAGTATCTTCACCACTAAATAACAATTAACTGAATAAACGCCTCATAAAAGGCCTATTGCAATATGTAGCTGGCGAAAAAAAATCTTCCTCGATTTAATTAATGCAAGTTAAGTAGCACCGCAAGGTCGCCCGACGACTTATTGATCAATAAAACGAGACTTGATTGTTAATTTGACGTGCGTTAAGTTAACAAAACGTTAACTAACGGTACAAATTAAAGGACATGGTTTTGTTTTAGTATGCTCGTCGATCGTGTTTTACATTATTTGCTGTAGTACATTACGTGTTTCGCATTCGAATAAACCGAGGGTTAGTTTTAATATACCGTTTTTAATCGAGGTATTTTTTGAAATATCCAATGCGTTTTTATACTCGAACAAAATGGATAATGCAACGTGGCGTGTTCTAAGTTCTAACTTTCACTGCTTTGCAATTTTCGCTTCGCTTTATGAATTTTAATTGTTTTTTAATATTTTTTCCTTCGGAACATCCTATCCGTTTACACGATAATTTCGACACTATTATCGGAACAATGACTAATTAATTGTACTTTTAGAAAGGGTGGATTTGTCAATAATCTGATAAGTAAAATATTATCTTAACTAGAAATCAATATCTCTATTCAATTAAGATAAAATTTATCTAAGTATTTATCTACCCTTAAGTATCAGTAAAATGACAATGCACAAGCAAATAAACAATTACCTTCTATATCTTAAAGGGTTGTTAAATTAACTTGCAAATGCACAAAATATGTGAGGTGTATATTTATATTAATATTGCATGTTTGTTGCGACATTAATTCAAGGCGAATGGTTAATTAACGGGCCGGTTATATAGAAATTCAGACGGTGCAATAATTAATTCGAAAGGTCATCGGCTGTTTTCGGTACCCATTAAGCGTTTAATATCGGGTTAATTGAATTAATTAAATATCGATTCGAGGAAAAGGCGCATTTCTAAATTGGTGCATTGTTGAGGAAAAAATGAAAGTGAGCCGTATCAACTTGCTACAAAAGAAGAAAGCATACGGCTAATTATGTTCAATTTTTATTAATTAGAGTTCATTAATTAATTAAGAAGAATGGCCTTTCTTTTTTTATTATTATTCTACTCTCTTCGCGCTTTAATTTCGTTTTTGTTTCGGTGCGAATAGGAATTTGGAATTGGAAAAATTTCCCTTTTGTTTCGTTCGGAATATAAAAATTTATAGTAGTAGATAATAAAATCCAATCGAAAATACATTTAACTGTGACATGTAATATTACAAGATAACTATTTCATTAGTAACAAATGTATGAATATAATTCGGCATTCTTCCTTTCGCAAAGCTAAGTAATTCTATTTTTCAATCGCCACTATGCCGAAAGAATATTATTTTCGATGAAAAGTATCCAGTACTTACAAAATACCCATATTGATTCATTCCTTCGGAATAGCTAATACATTTTTCTACCGTCGAGTTAATAATAAATTACGGTTTAGTTGTTGCACGAGAATAGAATTTTTAGAGCAGAATTAGAAAATTGCAGGTACGTTCGTACATCAGGCGAATTATAGTTATTTCATATCGAGAATATTTCGCTCTATTTGCGCAAAAAATAATCTTTCCGCGCCGGATAAATCCGCTTATTTCCTTACCCGATTTCCATCTGAAAACGAACGGGACAATCCGTATAATAAGGTGGAAACGATTACGTAAAGCGTTGCGGAATTTTCGACCCAAAGAGTCCGATAATCGTAAATCAAATTCCGCGCGAAAAAGTGGGCGAATCACCTACGACTTTAAAATCCTTTGCAAGGAAAGAGGACTTTTATACATCAACGAGTTATGCAGAATCGAAGATGTTTTACACGATTAATTTGCATATACGAGCATGTTTAAATTACAAAGTTAATTCGATAATAGCGAACAATTTTTTCTACCTCGATGGTTTACACAGGAATTGCCTCGACAAGAACCGTTTCAAATAGTTCAGGTGTAAACGTTGTACACCTACGTGCTTACAATTAGTCAGTTAATTAACCGTTCGGTTATAATTACGCGAGGGCGTATTTTTTATTGCCCGTTTCTAATCACAATCTCACGGTTTTATATCGGAAAAGCTCGTTTTTTAATCGAATCTTGCGTATAGCGCGTTCGCTTTAAAGCCGTTGTGACGTCACGACGCGCCTAATTTTTTTTTTCGACGGGGAAAACGTAAAATTTTTGAGTTGCGTAATTTTAAAATAGACCGAGAGAGCGTCGCGTCCGCAGAACTGGGCTATTCTGAGAATGAGAGAAGGAAAAAATGTTATCCGTATCCGTACGTGTCTGGACGAGGAGCAGGGCCGGATTTAGAGTAAGAAAGAGGCCCTAGGTTGTTCCGATTTTTGAGGCTCTTTTAAACTCTGTTTAAAGTGTCTGTATGATAAAAGAGGCGAAATATCTCGGAGATTTGGGGGTTTGTGAGAATTTTTGATTCTTTGAAAGTTGTAGAGAATTGTTTTTTCTTTAAAATGATGAAAATTTTGTGTGATTATCTCGATTGGTTATCGAGATAATTGAAGTTTTTTTGAAGTTTTCAATTTTAAGAGTTTCTATGATAAGAAGTCGAAAAATCTCGGAAATTTGGGTGTTTTTGAGACTTTTTGATTCTTTGAAAGTTGTAGAGAATTGCTTTTTCTTTAAAATGATGAAAATTTTGTGTGATTATGTCGATTGGTTTTCGAGATAATTAACGTTTTTTTGAAGTTTTTAATTTTAAGAGTTTGTATGATAAAAAGTCGAAAATTCTCGGAAATTTGGGGTTTTTTGAGAATTTTTGGTTCTTTGAAAGTTGTAGAGAATTGTTTTTTCTTTAAAATAATGAAAATTTTGTATAATTATCTCGATTGGTTTTCGAAATAATTGAAGTTTTTTTGAAGTTTTCAATTTTAAGAGTTTCTATGATAAGAAGTCGAAAAATCTCGGAAATTTGGGTGTTTTTGAGACTTTTTGATTCTTTGAAAGTTGTAGAGAATTGTTTTTTCTTTAAAATGATGAAAATTTTGTGTGATTATCTCGATTGGTTTTCGAGATAATTAAAGTTTTCTTAAAGTTTTCATTTTTAAGAGTTTGTAAGATAAAAAGTCGAAAAATCTTGGAAATTTGGGGTTTTTTGAGAATTTTTGGTTCTTTGAAAGTTGTAGAGAATTGTTTTCTCCTTAAAATAATGAAAATTTTGTATAATTATCTCGATTGGTTTTCGAAATAATTGAAGTTTTTTTGAAGTTTTCAATTTTAAGAGTTTCTATGATAAGAAGTCGAAAAATCTCGGAAATTTGGGGGTTTTTGAGACTTTTTGATTCTTTGAAAGTTGTAGAGAATTGTTTTTTCTTTAAAATGATGAAAATTTTGTGTGATTATGTCGATTGGTTTTCGAGATAATTAACGTTTTTTTGAAGTTTTCAATTTTAAGAGTTTGTATGATAAGAAGTCGAAAAATCTCGGAAATTTTGGGGTTTTTTGAGAATTTTTGATTCTTTGAAAGTTGTAGAGAATTGTTTTTTCTTTAAAATAATGAAAATTTTGTATAATTATCTCTATTGGTTTTCGAGATAATTGAAGTTTTTTTGAAGTTTTCAATTTTAAGAGTTTCTATGATAAGAAGTCGAAAAATCTCGGAAATTTGGGTGTTTTTGAGACTTTTTGATTCTTTGAAAGTTGTAGAGAATTGCTTTTTCTTTAAAATGATGAAAATTTTGTGTGATTATGTCGATTGGTTTTCGAGATAATTAACGTTTTTTTGAAGTTTTCAATTTTAAGAGTTTGTATGATAAGAAGTCGAAAAATCTCGGAAATTTGGGGTTTTTTGAGAATTTTTGATTCTTTGAAAGTTGTAGAGAATTGTTTTTTCTTTAAAATAATGAAAATTTTGTATAATTATCTCGATTGGTTTTCAAAATAATTCAAGTTTTTTAAACAATTGTTTTATTTTATAAAACGATGTTACGGAAAGTCCCAGCACCATTCCATTAGCGAGGCTTTTACACCTCCCATTTTTAACATTCCAAATTTAACAACTTGAATATAAACCCCCCTCATTCTCGAAACCTTTATGAAAAAGTCCGGCCCTGCAGGCGGGCCTTTTAGGACGCTCTAAAGCCGTTTGTGTAAACGTCTCGAAACACTTCTACTCCACACAACGCGCATACGGCCGACTACTTATTATTAGCTTGACCCAAGTCTGCGGGCTATGGCATTCGATTTGATAAAAAAAGGCGTTTCAACCGGTCGCTGACTTCGTTTCTTCATCTCTCCTTATTTCACTTGCATGCGGGCCTCCATGTTTCCCTCTCTCTTGAACTCACACACACACACACACACTTCCCATTCATATCCATCCTTCGACCGATTAGATTAATAAGAATTCAATATTGACACACTTTTTTCACACGTCGTCTAATCGATAAGAGAGATTATTTACACGTTTGGAAAGTTTATCAACAATCACTATTTTTGTATTAAATATTAGAGGAAAATGTACAATTTGTCGCCAATATCTTTACTTAAACAGTAAATTTATACTCCCTTCCCAATCAGAAGATGATGGTAATAAAGGTTAAGGTAAAGATAATAAAACCTTAAAGCAGCAAATCCAACAAGTAGGCACTATTAAAATTAATTTTTTAATTCTATTGTATCCTTTTTAGCATTACTATCTCCTGATACCGTATTCTCCAAATTGAGTTTTTTTTTCTCTCGTTCCAGAGCTCCCACATGAAAGTATAACATGTCATCGGCCATATGTCAGAACTTCGTGCAGAACGCCTGGAAGAAGGAGCTGTGCTCGAATTGCTTCAAGTCGATCGACGAGCACCGCGAGAAGCCGAAGCCGAAGCCCCTCAATTTGGTATCCAACGACAAGGTGTCGGGCATCATAAAGGGCACGAAGAAGGCGAAGACGAAGCACTCGGTGTGCTTCGTGAAGGACCTGACGGAGATCATCGGTTACGGCGGCGAAGATTGGTCGTCGGACAACGAGGAATCGTCCGGCGGATCGAACGAAAGCAGCGAAGAAGAAACGGACGACGAGAGCGCCAAGGAATTGCAACGGATCACTAAAGAAAACACCGATTACAATACGGTGTCTCTGAAAGAGAGCGACAACAAGAAGAACAACTACGCTCCTTTGTTGTTGGGTAAACCCGTCGTCGATTCGAGCGGTAAGAAACAAACTTTGTTGGTGTCTGTTACGCCGTTCGGTGAAGATTCCTCGTCGCATCAAGTGAAGAAATTGAATACAAAAAACTTCCAAATATCCACTTCCAATAAAGTAATACTACCCGAAACGGAGACTAACGTCGTGTTGACTTCCTATACGAAAAACGAGCAGATACAATCGCATGTACGCGAAGAGAAATCCCTATTGGACGAAATCACGGAGACCTTGGAAAACGGCAGGAACCCCATACAGATAATACAGAAAAAAACCGTCGAGGAGAAATCCGAAAAAAAATCCACGAACCTCACGAGAACTCCAGCGTTGAAGCGCGACATCGAAAAACCGGTGATTCACCAATCATCGTCCATCTCCAAAGCAGACGCGTCGAATAACAAACCCGCCAAAAGCTCGCCCAAGCTCGAGCCAATCCAAACCACCAAGAATTTCATCGACGCCGAAATACAACATGCGAAATCGGATTTTTTTCCTAAGGAAAAATTCCTGAAGGACAAATACATCCCGTTCTCGCAGAGCAGAGATCTGGCCGGCAAGCCGGACGGCAGGGAAGATCCCGTCACGAACGAGACGCCGCCCCTGCCGAAAACCCCGCCGCCTCCGGTGCTGGACGCGCAAAGTTCGTTTCTCCACGGCGCCCAGCCGGTCCCTTTATACGAGAAACCCAAAATCCCGTCCAAACCAGTCGTGATGAAAAAAAACCCGGTACAAATCAAAGCAGCCAGCAAACCGATCGAGGACCCCAACGAGTCGGACCCCAAGTGCAATAAGAGAAAAGCCCCTTCGCCGCCCGAAGAGATCTCCCTATCTTCGAATCGAAGCACCCCCAGGAATTCCACCGAAGAGGAAGCCATCTACGTATCGGCCGAACATCTATCGAGAAAATCTCTATCCACCGATTGCCTTACGATAAACGACAAACGTAAAGACAAGAACAAAGCGAGGTTCTCGCTGAAGAAGTTCCTCAAAATGGGCTCGCACAAAGACCTCACCAAAACGCAGCAAATCGAACACGAAGACCCGTCGCACAAACCCAAACTGATCATAGTCCATCCGTGCGAATTGAACGGCACCAAAGTCGAAGTGGTATCGAAGCAACTGATCGACGACAACCAACACGAGTACAGCGTACCCAACGAGTGCTTCCAATCGCAGAAGGCCGCCAAACCGCCGCCGCCGCCGCGCAACCACCCCGAATACAACAAACCCGTCCTACCGACGCCCCCCAAATCCGTCGACATCATCAACAAACAGAAGCAACTGTCGCGCAACAACTCGGCCTCGAAGCAACAGGAAACCGTCTACGCCAACATCGGCGAGGTGCGATCCTCCATAGTGCCCAACAAGCCGGTGCGAACGGCCAGCATGCGCGAACGCGAGGCCGCCCTGCAGCTGCAACTCCAACAGAAGCAAACCGTCAGGAAGCACCCGCACAACTACGAACCGCTCCACAACAACAACAACAACAACAAGGACCCCAACGAGAACGTGTACGACTACATCAACTCGACCAGGTCGTCGTCGCCCGACAGCGATCCCGGCGCCGACAAGGCGAAGAACGCGCGGCTGGCCAAGCGCTCGGAGAGCAGCCAGGACGTCGCCGGCGAGTACTTCAAGTACGGCCCGATACCCAGGAGCGTGTCGCTGACCTACTGCGGCAGCGAGACCGAATCGGAGATCTACTCGCCGTACGGGTTCTACGGCAGCGAGTCCGAGGTGACCGAGGACGATCACGATTGGATCCAGCACGGGCGCACGCACAAGCTGCGCTCGCGCAAAGGCCGCAGCATCGTGCACAAGAACCTCGAGGACAACTACGGCGCCGTCGTCGTGGCGAATTACGAGGCGCTCGCGCAGGTGCTGGAAAACGTAAGTGTTGTCGAAACTATAGCAAATAGATCTATTCCATAGCGAAGCTTCGTTTGCAGATACAGCAAATCAACCACATCCAGCCGGCGCTGAGGGGATTGAAGACGGTGTCGAACCTGCGCTGGACGGATTTCAGCGTGAAATCGTCGACGGGGCCGGTGCAGGTGGGATCGCGGGTGTTCCACCAGGCGATGTGGGGCACCCATAACGTCACCGTCGCCGTATCGGCCGGCAGCACCGTCTCCAACGCGATGCCTTCGGCCAGCTACACTCTGACGCCCATCATCGAATTCAGCGATCTCATACCCAACGCTTATCTGGCCACCAACGACAACGAAGACGACAATAATAAGCAAACTCTCGGTGAGTACACTTATCTACATACAAAACCCCTATCGATTGTATTTTTTACATTCCTAACGCAGCGACCGCTTGGGTGTTTCCGTACCTCCAAATCAACACCATCCAATCGTACGGGGAACTGTTAAAAACGAAATCCGACGAGGAATGCTGGAGGGATTCCAATTTCACGATGCTCCAACTGGTCAACGCTCTCAAATCGCTGCAAGCCCAAGGTATCGAGGAGCTGCCGCTGTCGCTGAGCAGCTTCGTACTCTGCAAGGACATGGACAAAGAGACGCATCACAGATTGTGCGTGTTTCAAGGGTACCACCGCCACCTTCACCCACACAATTCAATCTTAATTTATCTCTTGTACGTTCCGCAGAATGACATTAGACGTGGCGTCGAAGAGCCAGCAGGAGAAGCAGGGAACGTTGTGCACGTGCGCGGCGCGGGCGCTCGCCTGCCTCCAACCGTCGCCGAGGATCGTCTCGCTGTTGCAGTCGCTGCTCAACCACGAGCGCGCCGTCTCGCTGACGCAGGTGAAGAGCGTGCTGGAGTTCTCGCTGTGGGGCCCGTCGGACGTGTCGCTGGGCGCCACCATCAAGGAGCGCGAGCTGGCGCTGCAGCGATGGCTGGACCTGCAGCGGGCCACCGTGCTGCACGGCCTGGTCTGCGCCAGGATACAGTTGACCGTCTACGAGGAGTTCCATCTGTTGTTTTTGGTGAGGAGCAGCGCTCGGATGATGTGCGACGCTTCGCTGCTGATCGAGTCCAGTAATTTGAAACATTCCGTGGGGTTCGGTCAGAGTAGGGCGGAGAAGTGCGTGGGAGCGTGTTGATTCTTAGGGTTTTTCGCGAACTCTTTGAGCGAACAATTCGAGCAATTCGCTCGTTGTTTTGTATTTATTGTGTGGGTGTAATGCCGACTCTAAAGTAGTACTATAAAGTGTAATAAACCCTTTTGTATGATATTCACTTAATTTTTTTGTTTGGAGTTGTATTCGAGGCAATGTATATTTAGATACTTAAAGTATAATTATTATCTGTATTGTTGGACGAAAATGTACAATAAATTTATATATTTCTTTTTCAACGTATCTTTTACACGGCGAAGCCCCCTTCAGCGATTTATTTACGAAAACATAAAGCGAGAGTTACAAAAAAATGTACATTTTATTCAAAATTAAATTACACTATGCGGTTTCATACATTTAACAACGTAATTAATAAATTGCAGGTCTTGCATCAATTGCGTTAATCTCTTCATGTGCCTTTCGGTGTAAGGAATGGCCCCTTCGAGCGCCGAACTGAATCCCGACGGTGTGAAATTCTCGCTTTGCATTTCGCTCAATAAAATATTGATAACCAGCTGGGCGGGATGGGCATGCTTGCTGTTCATATTCCAATGTATCGCCGTCTTGAACAAACTATCCTTCTGATCGTTTCTCAACTCTTTAATAGTATCAGCCAAGCCGCTATCTTCGTTTTTGATTATAGTTTGTACTATTTTCAAAACCTGGTGCGGTTTGTTCAACCTCAAAGCTTCTTTCAAAGCTTTCCTGTAGTTCCCGTCGGCTAAGTAATTGTTCAATTTCTGCTCTCTGAGCGCCAGCTCTTCGGCTTCCCTGATCTTTTCGAGCTTCAATTCCTCGGTGACGTCCTTCCATTTGATCAACACCGAATCGCCGCCGCCGGTCACGAAACCCGACTCGTCCCGTTTCACCGCCACCGCCCAGATTTGGGCCTCGTGCCGGTCCAAAGTGCAAGTGCACTCCGACGTTTTCACGCTGAACAACTTCAACAAACCGTCCCCGCCGGCGCTCAAAATCTGCATGCCCGACGAGAGGAAAGCGGCCTTCAACACGCTGGCGTTGTGGCCTTCGAACGTCTTCAAACAACTCAAATCGCTTATCGACCAAAGTTTGATGGTGCAATCCGCTGAAGTGGTGAGCACCACTTGATCTACCGGCGAGAATACCACGCACCATATCGACTTTTTGTGACCTCTCAACACGCCTAATAACTCCAAATTGGAGCTCCACAACTTGCACGTTTTGTCTTGCGAAGCTGTAGCTATTAGTTTATCGTTGGGGGAAACTGCCACCGAGTTTATATCCTTCTGATGAGCTTGGGTGGTTTGTAAGCAATTCAAGCTCGTCTCGATTTTGGGGTTCTTCGGAATCTCCCACAACTTCAAGCACATATCTTGACTAACGGTTACAGCGAAATTGTAGTCTGTATTACTGAAAGCTACGGAACCCACGGAACCGGTGTGTCTCAAACCGATGGCTACGCAAGTCATCGTATAATCGAATTTCCACAACCTCACGGTGTTATCTTTACCCGACGAGAGCATCAGGTTCGGATTAGCCGGCGTCGTGGCCAAAGCTAGTACTATATCATCGTGGCCTCGAAGGATGTTGCAATTCATGGTGGCGTTTTCGTATAATTTGATGTCTTTGGAATTAGTCGCGACGGCCAGATGCGAATCGTCTTTACCCACGAAAGCCACGTCTAAAATCTCCTCGGAGAAGCCGGGGAATTGCTTCAAGCACGCGAACGATTTCAAATGGTGGATGACGATGTTGTGATCGACCGTAACGATTGCCAACGATTTCGATTTACCGTCGTATCTCATCAAAGTCACGGCTAATCCGCCTTCTTCGGATGCTTCGTTAACCAACGAATTCTCTTGGGTAAACACACGCTTCGCGTTGCTAACGTCCCACACTTGTACGAGGCCTTTTTCGCCGGCAGAAGCCACGTATATACCGTTCGGATCCGACTTGAAGTTCGGCAATTTGAATTTAACGGGTAAACTCGCGATGGTTTCGACTGCGGTGTAATGCGGAATGATCTTTAGAGGTTCCGGTTTGCCGGTTTCCCACAATATTATCACCTTATCTCGACCGCAGGTGGCGAAATGGGAGTCGCGCGCGAAGACGAGCGATGTGACTTTGCTGTAATGCCCCGCGTAAATGAGTTTTAAATCGCCTTTCGATAGCTCGTAGGAGTTGATTTTGCCATCATCGCCCGATGCGAAGAGCAGGTTTTCTTGGGGATGGAACTCGACTACGTTGATGACGCCCTGGCAACCTCTTAAGCTGAGCAGGCAGACTTGGTTGAGCAAATCCCAGAGTCTTACCACTCCGTCGCAGCCTCCGCTAGCTAACTTTCCGTCGAACATGGCCAGCCGAGCTACGGGGCCTTTGTGTATGTATTTCCACATTTTCTCCAGCTCGCCTTTGTCGTTCCATAGCTTCATCAATCCGCTTTTGTGCGATGTTACCGTTTGTTGACCTGTAGTGGTGAAGGTTTGTATGGTATCGGCGTCTTCGGCGGATTCTTCGCCGATGGATCGTTCGATTAGGCCGGTTTCGATGTTCAATAGGTTTATTTTCGAATTGGTTTGGCAATAGAGCGTGTCTTCGAGCCATTCTAAATTGCCTCCGGTGTAGAAGGCGCCGTGTTTTGATTCCACATCGAAGCTACAATAATGTTAATGTTTAGTAACGAGTTAATGTGGAACGATTTGGTGACTTACGCTTCTTTAAGTTTCCCTTTGTTGCTCATTTTGTTGATAATTATCCAGTGTTAAACATTTATGTATTATTTTAATTCAAATACACAATACACGCTGCATTTGTTGGTTATAAAATTCACTTGTCGCTAACTTCACTCACTTGGTTTATAAAAAGAACCAAATTGTCACACGAATCGAGGCCAGTACACAAGTCAATTCAAATGTCAAACGAACATTATTTTTTGTTTATATTTCAATTAGAATCAATTTTTACAATCAAAATTGCAATTTCAGAAACGTAGCGAATTTATCAAATACACGCTGCATTTATAGGCGATAAAATTCTTTGAATTTAATGTCACTTGTCACTAACTTCACTCACTTGATTTATAAAAGAACTAAATTATCTTGCAAGTCAAGGCCACGGTTTGACAGTATACAATTAGGTTAAGTCAAACCAAACGTCAAACTAACATTGTTTTTTGTTTATATTTCAATTCGAATCGATTTTTTACAATCAAAACGACGATGAATTGCAACGACGGTTCCTAAACGATGGATTTCATACATGTAGCTAGTTTTGAAAGGATAAAATGGTCGTGTTTAGCAAATATTATATAGGAAAAATGAACAGTACTTGGTTGTCAAACGATCTGCTGCCGCCGTTCGGCTTCACTGGCTTCTTCGGGGCCGTGTTCCTCTGCATAGTGACCTTTTATGTGTTCAAAAAACTGAGCGGCGACGGCAACATTCCCCTTAGAGGCATCCTCAAGAGCCACAGTTGGATACCTATTAAAATAACGGCAAAGGTACCACAAACTCGATTCGTATCACTATATTTGTACATAACTATTTATTGTTTAGACTTGGTACTGTTCAGTATGCGAGTCTCTGTTACTGAACGGTATAGGAGTTTATTGCGATTGCTGCGGTGTATGCGCTGACTCGGATTGCATCAGAAAAGCCGATACTTCGTTGAAATGCAAAGTGATTGCCACCAGCGAACAGAACTTCCCGCATCATTGGGTTAAAGGTGAAACAATTCACAAACTATTTACCAGTTAATTAACGCTCGTATATTTTTTAGGTAATTTACCTTTGGGAGTGAATTGCAAGGTGTGCAAAGAGGAATGCTCGAGGGATCCCGGGTTAGTAGATTTCAGGTGTTGCTGGTGTCAGAAAACAGTCCACACGGAATGTCTAGCGAGAGTAGAAGAAGTTAGTAGTACTTTAGTAGTACCTAGATCTAATTACCAATTGATTAAATTTGCAGTTATGCGATTTTGGTGCGTTTAAACACATGATAGTACCGCCTTGGTGTGTGCACACAGTCAAACGTAAAGGTACTCTACACAAACAAATCCTGTTAAAGAGCGTTCGAGATCCCCAGTGGGAACGATGGACTCCTCTAGTAGTAGTCGGTAAATGGATTTATTTAAATAATCGATTAGAATCGCGTTAAATATGATTAAATTTTTATAGCGAACAGAAAATCGGGAAACGGCGACGGAGCCGCCTTACTATCGGAGTTCCGCAAGTACTTGAATCCCATACAAGTGATCGATTTGAGCGAACGTAAACCCCCTGTTGCTCTACAATGGTGCATTCTCCTAGCGCCCAAACCCGTTACTATACTGATAGGCGGCGGGGACGGTACCATCGCTTGGGTACTGACCACCTCTCACAAACTAGATCTCGACGTAAGTACTGCTTCATTACTAGACGTGTAGGAATCTTGTACACTAATCGATCGTATTTCAGCCGGAACCTCCGATTGCTATCATACCTTTGGGTACCGGTAACGATTTGTCGAGGGTGTTAGGCTGGGGCGCCGCGAATTCCTCTGATATAGACGTCGAAGGGTTGTTAAGAAACGTACGAGAAGCTAGAACGGTGGAACTCGACAGGTAATTATAGTACTCGATGATTAATTTATAATGCTAATGCTACCTGTCCGTTTGAGAGGTTTCAAACTGTCGAGAGTTACTCTCAGGTCTTTGTTCATTTGAGAGGAAACTCGCGAGAGTTACACTCTCTGAGAGTGTACAAAATGCTAGTTGAGAGTTTTGTAAAATTAGTACTATCAGAACTGTGTTCAATAGGTTTGTGCTGGGAGTTTTGTGAACTACAGTTTTGTGCACATTTTTAGCACATTTTTAACAGATTAAGTTACTTATTAAAAATTTACTAATCATAATGAATGCCATATTTAACAGTTTTTAAAAACTTGCAATATATTTTCGTTACTTTAACATTTTCTACCAGTATAATGACTAATAGAGATTTTTGTTGAAATAACGGAATCTATTAAAAATGTGCTATGAACTTAATTTTATTTAACTTTGGAGATTTAAAAATTGTATAAATGTCAAAAATTGAGATTTATCTTCAAAAAATGTGGGTTTTATAAAAAATTACAAAGAGTATAAAATTATTATAAACAAGAGTATAAATCTAGTTTCGATTCAAAAATTAGGTACTGCAATATATTTTCTTTTCTTTAACATTTTCTACCAGTATAATGACTAATAGAGATATTTGTTGAAATAACTGGATCTGTTAAAAATGTGCTATGAAATTAACTTTATTATTAATAACGGACTAAAAACGTTCCAAACTTTGGAGATTTAAAAATTGTATAAACGCCAAAAATTGAGATTTATCTCCAAAAATTTCATGATTAACTCTCAAATAGTTACTCTTACACAGACAAGAACTACTCTCGAGAGCCGCCCTCGACAGTTTTTCTCCCAAATGAACACCTAGCATTACACAATGTACGTTCATAGATGGAAAGTAGAAGTAACATCGAACAGACACTTGGGCTTGAAATTACCCAGTAAAATCCACTTTATGTACAACTACATCAGCATCGGAGTAGACGCCCAAGTAGCTTTGAACTTCCACAAGACCAGAGACAGTATATTCTACGTATACGGCAGCCGATTAGTCAACAAGGTAAATCCTTCTAACACCCTCGAACAACACTCAATACATTTTATACACCGTTGGAAATTTAATTTCGCATAATAGCGAAATCAATGTTAAATTCTTAACCGGCTGAAATCCAGTCTACCAGTATACATTTCAATAGAACGTCGCGATCAATTCTAATAAATTTAATTGTTCTACTGGACCGCACGCCGCGATTTGTAGAGGTACAAAGTTATTTGTGTTAAGTATGAGGTACAAAATTATTTAGAAACTAATTTTTTTTGGGATATTTCAAAAAAATAAGTGTATTGGTAGGTACAGTTTTGAAAGAGCAACAAATCTTGTTGAAATAAGGGAAAAAATAATTCAATTTTCTGCTAGAATTATACCTCAGCTCAGTAATATGGGATGACATCTGTATGACAGGTTTGCCTATAGTTTAGCAGAAAGCGGTGGACTATTTTTTAGAGTTCTTTTATTTTCTGTTTTAAAATAATCTTTAAGTTTATTTTTCGAGTTTCCTTTTTATTATTTTCTTAGAATTTACTTTCTTTTTCAAGCCATTGTGGCAAAAAGACATATCTACATAATTCTATTTTAATATTAGTGATATTTTTTCAATAAATTATCGTTTAAAAATTCTCATTTCTTTGTAATCGACTCGACGTTTACCCATCTGAACCCGTTTTGATACTGTCGAAGTGTCGAAACCGTCGAAATTATTTGATTTTTAATCTCACCGAACCAAATCGCGGTGTGAAGTCCAGTAGAACAATTAAATTTATTAGAATTTATCGCGACGTTCTATTGAAATGTGTACTGGTAGACTGGATTTCAGCAGGCTAAGAATTTAACATTGATTTCCCTATTATGCACGAATTATTTTCCAACGGTGTATGTCTTTCGTAGTTGTTGTACCTGTGCTTCGGCACGCAACAGGCGGTGACCTCCGATTGCAAGAACCTGGAGAAGCGGCTGGACTTGTACTTGGACGGCAAGCGGATCGATCTGCCCGAATTGGAGTCGATCGTCGTGCTGAACATCAGCTCGTGGGGCGCCGGCGTGAATTTGTGGGGCGACGGGGAGGTGCACAACAATCAGTCCTATCACGACGGGATCGTCGAGGTCGTGGGGATCTACTCGTCGTTTCACATAGCCCAATTGCAGGTGGGCATGTCGACGCCGTTGCGATTGGGACAGGCCAAGGTGGTCGAGGTAAATCCATATACCTATTACTACTATACCGCTTATAATGGTCTAAAACCCGTAGCAAACATTATACTGTGGTGTGCTTGCTTATTTATGCGCATGCTCAAGTGAAAGATTTCTTGATTGGCTACTTTTGACAGAGCAAATGAAACGTCAGAAACGTGCTAGCTTTTATTTTGGTATATTTTTTGATATATTTTTAAAATCGACTTTGACTTGCCTGTGTAAATATGGCAGGTTACCGAATTTAAACACGATTTCAAGTATTATTTTCCTTCTTTTCTTTTTAGGCCTCAGCTACTCGCTATTGGTCATTTTAAAATTAACGCGCTTGCGTATAAACGACTAAGCACACCATAGAGGGTCGGATTTCTCTCTTTAATCGCTACGATTTTCTCTCGTGGAATAGATAGGGAGTTAGCAGTATATTAGTAATAGGTATATGCAAAAAACAATGTTAGTTTGACGTTTGGATTGAATCGGATGATTTATTGTGCGAAATGGTAATTGTGTTGATTGAATTTTGTTGGTTTTTTTTTTTTAGATATTTTTGAAGCAGAAGGCTCCGATGCAGGTGGACGGGGAACCGTGGGAACAACAGCCCGGTAAACTGAAACTGTCGTTTGTCAATAGATGTCCCGTGCTTATCAATCAAAATGGTTTCGAGTGATTTTGAACGGATTCGATTTTATATATTTTAACGTTGAATAGATCTGATTTTATTGTTGTTGTAAATTTCGAGTATTTATTGTGGTTTCCGTGGTTATGAGACGTTAATTGACAGTTTACAAGTGTCAAAAACAACAGATAGGTAAACTGAAACTGTCATTTGTCAATAGATGTCCTGTGCTTATCAATCAAAATGGCTTCGAGTGATTAATAACGGATTCGATTTTATATATTTTAACGTTGTTAAATAGATCTGATTTTATTGTTGTTGTAAATTTCGAGTATTTATTGTGGTTTCCGTGGTTATGAGATGTTAATTGACAGTTTAGGGGTGTCAAATTTTGACATAAAGTGTGCTCCAATTAGCAGTGTTGGTGGTTTGATTTGTACTTAATTAGATAGAAAAGAGGAAAAATATCCAGTATTTCAATGTACTAATATCTAATTATAACACTAATGTACTTTATAGGGATTTTTTTTGCACTAACAGCACTTTTCTTATATTTATTTAGTGGATAAGTGCAAATATGTTGTCAATTTTATGAGTTGAACAAAGAAAGGTTGTTATAATAACAGTGGTTAGAGTGAGAAAGTTGCAATTCCACAAAACATAACTCTTTCTCTTATATGAGACTAATAGAAGTTGTCTTTGTTGCACCCATATATTATTGCATACAATTTTGCACTTAAATGTATATATTTATTGTTAATAATTTGTCTTTATAACGCTATACTTAATGGAAATCAATGTGTCAAATCGTCTTTAAATTACTTCCAAAATTTACATTTTGTAACATTCCAAAACGGTGAAATTTTCTATTTATTTATTTTTTTTATCGATGTTCGTATTTAAGAAAATGTATTTATGAATTTGTTCGAAATAAAGTATATAAAAAGCTGACTTACCCTCATCATTTTCGCTTGTGTAGAACACTCGTAAGGGGTGCGTTTGAAGTTGAAACATCCCTCCTCAGAGAGCGCCACAAATTACATTTGAACCGTAAATTTTAATGGAACTGAAACGAAAAGAAAATAAAATTGTACGAAAAAAACATCACCCGATTTTCATTTGTACGAAAAATTTAGCTGTTTTCCTGACATGTAAGAGTAACATTCTTCTTTTAACTTCTAAATCGCGTAAAAAACTCACTATCAAAATAACTCATCTTCTTTTATTAATTTTCATTCGAATTAGCCCGTTGGAAAATTGTTCATTAGTCAAAAGAAAACTCGCAAGGGGCGCGTTTTGAGTTCTAGCACCCTTTCTCAGAGGGCGCCACTAATTACATTTGAACTAATGTAAGAACAATAATGTAAAAAACCACTCGATTTTCATTTGTACAAAAACTGCATTTATTAGCAGCTGTATTCCCGACATGTAAGAGCCTCATTCTTCTTTTAAACACGAAAAAAAAACTCCGCAATAAAACTACACCCAGCTCATCTTCTTTTATTATTTTTCAATTCGAATTAGCCCTTTAGAAAACGGTCTCGACATCGCCACGTCTCCGGCCATTTTCCAACGATGCAGGAGAAAACTCACTATCAAAATAAATAACTCATCTTCTTTTATTAATTTTCATTCGAATTAGTCCGTTGGAAAATTGTTCATTAGTCAAAAGAAAACTCGCAAGGGGCGCGTTTTGAGTTCTAGCACCCTTTCTCAGAGGGCGCCACTAATTACATTTGAACTAATGTAAGAACAATAATGTAAAAAACCACTCGATTTTCATTTATACAAAAACTGCATTTATTAGCAGCTATATTCCCGACATGTAAGAGCCTCATTCTTCTTTTAAACACGAAAAAAAAACTCCGCAATAAAACTACACCCAGCTCATCTTCTTTTATTATTTTTCATTCGAATTAGCCCTTCGGAAAACGGTCTCGACATCGCCACGTCTCCGGCCATTTTCCAACGATGCAGGAGAAAACTCGAATGCAAATAGAAAGGATAATAGAGACGGTCGAACGACCCGAAACCCGTTTAGAGCCTCCGACCCATTCCGATGACGACGCGTGCTTACGAATTCACTCCGTACGGCCGGCAATCGGCAGAAATTCCCCGTGCAATAAGCCGAATTCGGTCCTAATTCAATCCCGGGACGTCCGGACGGGCAAGGTGGCCGTGGAATCGTCGCAGACAATGGACAATCGGGCGATCGCATCTGGGGCGGCCGGATCGCCGGCCGCCCCCCCCGGGGACCTTTCCCGTTTTCTATCTACCCCTTGTTAACTTCGGTTTGTTGCGCGCGGGAAATTTCCCGGAGACTTGGCGCGAAAGCGTCGTCCGATGTGAGATGATGATATGGACGGACTGGTGCTTCATTTTCAATTTTTGAATGAATTGTTTTGTTGTAAATTTAGAGTAGAGTGTAGAGTAGAGCAGAGTAGATTCAGAGTAGATGCAAAGTATGTAGATTAGATCAAATTCAAAGTAGGTTTTTGACTAGAGTAGATTCAGAGTAGATTCAGGCGTAGAATAGATTCAGAGTAGATTAGATTCAGAGTAAAGTAAAGCTGATTCAGAGTAAATTCAAAGGAGATTCAGAGTCGAATCGGTGTAGATTCAGTTCAGAGTATATTCAAAATTGAACCGGAGTAGATTTAGAGAGGAATAGATTATATTCAGAGCAGATTAAGAGTAGATTCAAAGTAGAATCAACGTTTATTCAGAGTGGAGTAGAGTCATAGTAGATTCAGAGTAGATTCATAGTAGATTACAGTAGATTCAGAGTAAATACAAAGTAGATTAGAGCAGATTGAGAGTAGATTCAGGAGTAGAGTAGATTAGAGCAGATTCAGAGTAGATTCAGGCGTAGAGTAGATTAAATTCAGAGTAAAGTAAAGCTGATTCAGAGTAAATTCAAAGGAGATTCAGAGTAGAATCGGTGTAGATTTAGTTCAGAGTATATTCAAAATTGAACCGGAGTGGATTTAGAGAGGCATAGATTATATTCAGAGCAGATTAAGAGTAGATTCAAAGTAGAATCAACGTTTATTCAGAGTGGAGTAGAGTCATAGTAGATTCAGAATAGATTACAGTAGATTCAGAGTAGATACAAAGTAGATTAGAGCAGATTGAGAGTAGATTCAAAGTAAAGTAAAGCTGATTCAGAGTAAATTCAAAGGAGATTCACAGTAGAAACAGTGTATATTCAGTTCGGAGTATATTTAAAATTGATCCGGAGTAGATTCAGAGTAGAATCAGTGTAGATTCAGTTTATAGTGCATTCATAATAGATTCACAGTAGATTCAAAGTAGAGTGGATTAGATTCAGAGGAGAGTAGAGCAGATTCAGAATAAATTAAAAGTAGATTTAGAGTAGAATCAGTGTAGATTGACAGTATATTCAAAATAGATTCAGAGCAGGGTATAAAAAAAGCAGTTGTCGAACTGTCATTTTGACATTTAGTTACAATAAAAAAGAAGAAGAAATGAAGGTGTTTCACACGAAACGAATAAAATTCGTTGTATACTTAATACGTATTTATCGCAATAAAGCGTCGATAAATAATCGAATTGTTAAATAAGAAATCGAAAACATTTAGCGGGTTATCGGCGAAATTGAAACAAATCGATTTATCGACTAAAAACAACCTAATTACACAAATAATTACGTGTCCGTCGAATGATCGATAAAAACCCCCGATTAAAACGACGCTCCTCGATCGCATCGAACATCAGTTACTCCGCAACCCTACCGCCCGTCGTAGGCTAATTAAAAATGCACAAATTAACGTTTTTAATTAGCTTAATTGCCACGAGTGTCGCCCAATTCGATCCCCATTTCGCCAAAGGTCGACGATCCATCGTGCATCTATTCGAATGGACCTGGACGGACATCGCGATGGAATGCGAAAGTTTCTTACGGTACCACGGCTACGGGGGTGTACAGGTACTTATTCTCTTCGTTGATAATTAATCAATAGACAAGAGAGGTTTTTCATTCGACGATTTTAAGATTTCCCCGCCCAGCGAGAACCTAATAATCGAAAATCGACCGTGGTTCGAACGCTACCAGCCGGTCAGCTACGTCCTAAAAACGAGATCAGGCGATGAAGATGATTTCAAAACTATGACGAAACGTTGCAACGACGTAGGAGTAAGGTAGGCAAACCATTTATCATGTAAGAGATAAGTGCCTAATAGAACATTTATCTTCGTCTTCATTCAATCTTCTTTATCTCTTTGATCTCCTTTATTTCTTTCATCTCGTTCAATCTCTTTCAATTTCATTCATCTCATTAATATCGTTCATCTGGTGTCTGGTTCATCTCGTTCAATCTCCTTCATCTGGTTCATCTAATTCAATCTCCTTTCTCTCATTCATCTATTCCATCTCCTTTATCTCTTTCATCTCGTTCAATCTTATTCATTCTGATTCATTCACATTCAATCTCAATTATTTCATTAATCCCGTTCGTCTGGTCCAGCTCGTTCAATCTCCTCCATAATACCTTTCATCTTATTCAATCTCATTCATCTTGTTCAACTCGTTCAACTGGTTCATCTCTTTAATCCACATTCGTCTATATCTCATAACTAAACACACAGCTGGTAAGATCCAAGTACCTATTAGAACCTTAGAATATCCTCGTAGGAAATCAACGAGGAAAATTAAGATAATTCTTATGTGAATAACAGAATATACGTCGATGCGGTGATCAATCACATGTCGACCGGTAACGGAATCGGAACGGCCGGTAACGAAGCTTCGGGCGAAGGAGAGTACCCCGGGGTACCGTACACGTCCGGCGATTTCCACCGAACGTGTACCGTCGATTACAGTTCGACGGATAACATCAGAAACTGCCAGTTGGAGGGCCTGAGGGATTTGAACCACGTAAATATCGCATTTCGACCGCCTCTTTTGCCTATTGTTAATCAAGTGTGTGTTATGTAGAGCAAAACGAACGTTAGAGAGAAAATCGTGGGGTACTTGAACCGTTTGATCGATTTGGGAGTGGCTGGGTTCCGAATAGACGCGGCCAGGCACATGTGGCCCGACGATTTGAGAGCCATTCTCCGAAAAGTGAAGAATTTAAGCAGAGAACACGGTTTCGAAAGCGACCAAAGCCCCTTAATTTATCTAGAAGTAAACAGCGAAGGTACTCAAACGCGACCCAATCTCCACCAACCCCATTCCGAATCGATCTCGTTCCAGGCGACGCGACCGACTACGCCGACATGGGCCTCGTCACCGAATTCAAATTCGCCCACAAGATATCCAACGTCTTCAAAGGCAACGACAAGCTCGCCTACCTGCGCACCTGGGGCACCCAATGGGGCTTCATGGACACCGCCGAGGCCCTGGTGTTCGTCGACAACCACGATCTACAGCGAAACCCCGGCCATTTGAGCTACACGTCCCCCGGCAGGTACGCCGCCGCCAACGCCTTCATGCTCGCCTATCCCTACGGCACCAGCAAGATCATGTCGGGCTACCGCTTCGGCGGCAGGAACCAAGGCCCGCCCGTCGATCGGCACGGCAACCTCCGATCGCCCCATCTCGACGGTACCGAGCGAACCTGCGGCAACGGCTACACCTGCGAACACCGCTGGAAGGGGATATACAGCATGGTGCTATTCAAAAACGCCGTTTGGAACCAACCGTTGACCAATTGGTGGTCCAACGGCGACCAACAAATCGCTTTCTGTAGAGGTAATTCGCGATTGTTTAGAACCTAGGGGCATGTCTACAACCTTGAAGTGTATCTAGAACCTGGGGATGAATTTATCGATGAACCTAGAAGCAATTGGTGAACTTTGGGGGAATCCCTATAGCTTGGTGATGAATCTAGGAGCTGGGATGAATTTATAGGTGAAAATAGAACCTATATTGGTGAATATAGCACTTATTAAAATTTATATAACCGAAGGATGGCCCTAGGTCCTATTAGCAAGACTTTACATATGTGAACAGTAGACCAAATTCACTGTTCATAGGCGATTTTTAGGGTCCTTTCAGTACATTTCTGTTTGTTTGTGTGCAGGACGCAAGGGTTTCGTGGCGTTTACTCAATGGCTGGACTTGAATGAAGAGCTCCAAACGTGCCTGGCGCCCGGCAAATACTGCGATATCGTATCGGGGGATTTGCTGGCGGTGGAAAACCGATGCACCGGTAAAACGGTGGAAGTGAAAAGCGACGGAAAAGCCGCGATAAACTTGTCGTTCGATAAGGAAGAGTACGTGTTGGCGTTGATGGAGCATGTGAAATTGCGCGACGAGATAATGTAGATGTATAATGTTCGGTTGCATCAATATATCATAGGTTATGTCTGACTTAAATGTATGATCTACTTAAGGTTGGAATATGTTGCATCATGTTGAATAAAGGTTATTTTACCTACGATCCATTTTAACTTACTGGGGCACTGGGGCTAGTGAAAAAAGATCAAAAGAAGAGTTGTACGGTTTTAACATCCTAGGATGCTTTGGTGCAACTAGGCATAAATGTAGAATAATTTGAGTATATTTATTTCGCATTTTTTTGGGTCCCGTATACGTGTAGGTATTGAGGTTTAACGCGTGTATTCCCCCGTGCACGTCTACTACACACGTATACACACACATATGCTAAAAGATATTCCTTTGGGAGAGGCGTCGCGTCGGCGACGTGAAGAGGAGACGTGAACCGCCAATATACATATATTTTCCGAATTACGGCATATTTCCCCGGCTCCGGGCTCCTGAATATTACATGCATTACCTGCAGGGTTTCCGCGACATATTTTTTTGTTATACGTCGCAGGTTTTTTTATTTTTTTATCAACTACCATGTCATAATAACACAAATTTGACATTTTTTAGAATGTCATAGTGACACTTATTACCGCACTACAAGGTAGTGCTGTAATTTTTAGAAAAATCACGCAAAAAGTAAAAAAAATTAACTAGAATTTTATTTATACTGTTCCACAAAAGTTAAGGAAGTTCACAAATATTGAGATTAATTTAAAAGTTGCAGGTTTTTTGATCGCCAAATTTAGTATGAATTGTAGAGGTAGGGATAAAAAATCCACTCAGATATGAGAGAAAACATTTAATTTCGCATATTTGAAAATTTGGTGACCAAAAAGTCTGTAACTTTTAAAATAATCGCAAAATTTACGAACTTCCTTAACTTTTGTGGAGCAGTTTATTATAAATATTGAGATGGATTATCAGAGGGAATTTCTTCATCTGAAGAACCCATTACCTTTTTTTATTAAATAACCTTTTTTCTAGAAAATTTATATTTAAAATGACAAATATATTTGACTTGTAACCTTAGCTTCGAAAATTGAAAAACATGTCCTCACTTGATTTTTAAATAAAAATTAATACAATTTTTTTATATTAAAATTTGCATATAATTTGGTTATTATGACATAATAGTAGAAAAAAATCTTGTATATTGCACGTGGGATATGCCCATTATAGCAATCCTGCGACTCGTTCTGCAAAAATCAGATTCATGCTATAATTAGTAGCATATCTTACTTATAAAATATAAACAGCTATTTTCGTATTTAACAAACCACCGCGGGAATCTTCATCTTTTCATCTTTTCATCTTCCGGTTCGGGTCGTTAGATGAGGAAACGCCCGGCAAACGAATCGGTGATTGAATATAAAATCGTTAGATGTTAACTAGAGTGTCGAAGGCGGCGACGATCTTGATTTTTCCTACCGTGAAACATCATTAAAGCCCCGGGCTAATGATGAAGCGTTCGCGCGCTCGCTCGGGACCTCGCGTCCTGCCCGATCGCGACTGGCAAATGACAAGGACACGAACGGTAATCCCCTATATTCGACACTAAAAAAAATTACGCGAGATGGAGGAAAGAGCGGTTGGTATAAAACAGTTATTTTCGAGTAGGTAACGCTGATGTATTGTCATGGCGAATTCTTAGATTTTCTGAATTCTATAAAAGTTCGGCAACACTGCCTACATGTGACGTGCATTGATATTTGTTTTGCACCGACTGTAGTTTGTGCAATACAATTACTATATAGGGTGTTAATTAATTGAATGCTGATAATTTAGGACGTGAATATATGGATGATTTTAAGAAGAAAAGTTTATATCAATGTATGTCCTAAACCTCTTGGTTATAGAACTACAGGATGTTAGAATTTTAGAAAAACAAATTTTAAAAATAATTTTGGTTTTTAGAAAAAGCAGTGGCGTACCATTTTTTTTCAAACATATTCAGTTCAAACCCCGTACGGACGTCATTGGTAAAAATTTAAAAAAAATCCTATGCCTCAAAAAATGCTCCTTAATAATTAAAAAGTGTATACAAAATTTCAAAAAAATATCTGGAGTAATAAGAAAATTATGATAGAAAAGTTATTTTTTTATAGTATTCTTTAGAAAAAGTTCTGCATGGCCAATAAAGTAAAACGCAAATGTCAAATGTCAATTTTTATAAATCGTATACGAGGTTTGTCAAAAAATATAAATTTAATACAAGAGTAAAGTAACCTCTATTTTTTACAATATCGAAAACTTTTTAGTTATGAAAAGTTGTTCGAAATAGAAAACTACGTTTTAATATGCAAAATATTTTGTTATTTTTACTAATTGTACTCAAAATATTAAATGTAATTTTAAGGGAATTTTATTCCATTGCAAAATTGATAAACTTTGACTTTATCTGTTAAGAATTATCTCAAATAGACAAATATGTAATTAGAATTGGTTATTTCAAAACGTTCCTATTAATTTTATGTAATTTATACCTGTACATCCCCTATACATCTAATGTCAAATGTAAATATCAGAACATTATTATTTTCGAAAGCAGATATTTTCATGAAGAATAACTTTTTTTCGTAAAACTTACAATAAAGAAATTTTCCATATGTTGCCAACTTTTTCAGACAAACTGTATATTTAAGGATACTTCAAGGGTGCTGAAAAAAATGGCGTTTGTTCGAAAAGTGGCCGATGAACGTACAACGTTCGAGGCCACTTCGAAACAGTAATGGTGCAAACGACGCTCGGGGTATCCGCCGGTGCCCTTAACGAGCGCAATTTTTTAAATTCTTTAAAACGCTTTTTGGCTTCTCCAGCAAATCTCCTCCGGATTCTTTCAGTCATATTAAGCGAATTAAGGATATTCGGGGATTCGGGATACTTAAAATTTTCCGCGAATTTTCGTGAAACAAACGTAATGCGGAAGGGATTTTCGCTACTTTCGCCTAATGGGCGGCGGAGGGTCGTTTCCTCCCTTTCCGATGCGAATTATTTTTCTCCTTATTTACGGAAAAAGGTCGCGTGAATTTTTCAACCGATCCATTCGCGACCTAATTATTATTGATGGGAATCGATTTCGCCCAAATTATAAAATTGCGTTAAAAAGATATAAAAGAAACCAGAAGAAACCATTATTCTCGCTATGAAAAGTTTGACATAACACAAGTAACAGTTGACACGTGCCAGATGACAAGTGACAGTTGACACGTGACAGATGACAAGTGACAGATGACAAGTGACAGATGACAAGTGACAGATGACAAGTGACTTGAGACTGTGAAAAAAAGGCCTTTTACCCATCGGAGGTTTGGAAGGAGAATTTCTGAGCGTGATGGCGTATCGCGCGTCAATAAAATGTGTGTCTCGTTCGTCGGGCGATATGTATACGGGTAAACGCGGAAAACAACGAAAAGTCGGGGGGGAGGAGAGAGAGACAAACCTCTTAAACGCGAGCGAGCGGGTTTTTGACGTGTGCAATCAGAATGGCGAATGCCGAGCAAATGTTGACTGATGTACTCGTCGACTGCCGAGCGGATTGTGACATGTTTTGTGAAGCGGTGATTGTTGTTTTTCTTTTCACAAATTGCATGCCGCACGCTTCCTTCCTGCTCGCGCCCCTTTTTTTTATTTTTTTCGCTCCATACGGTTGGGGTAGCGGGGTAGTTTTCTTTTTACTTCTTACTTCTTACTATTTTTTTTTTCGCGCTTTCCTCGGCGCGTTTTTCGAAATGTTTGCACAAACCAGAAATATCGCGTTCGAGCAAATACGAGGGACGCGGGGAAATTCGAACGCGCTGTATACAGGGTGTTCTCGAACTAGTAGCACTAAATTTTAGGGATGGTAGTTTGCATAATTTAAGACTGATTCGCAGATTTCATTTTTCTAAAAAAATTGTAATAAAAAATTTAATATTTCAAGGAAATGCGGTCCTGTACATCGGTTGAAACTGAAACCCCTTAGAATCGACAAAATTATGATTTATAAATTAAGAATGATATTTTATTTGAATTTGTTTATTACTTATTTATTAAATATGGTCTCTAAATTTTTTAAATCATGGATAAATAATAAAAGTAAACCGGCATTTTCAAACAATAGAAGAAAATAAACTTTAAACTCAAAAGAAATATTAACTCACCTATTTTGTTGTTGAAAAATAATGAAGTTCATAGTGATTGTTCAATAATAATCACTCACATATATCAAGAACATCACTAACACAAGAACTAAGAAGAACACTATGAATTAACTAAATTAAGAACAACACCAAGAACTAAAACAATAAAATAAATCACTAAAATCTAACCACAAAAATCTATTTAACCCCGATGTTATAAGCAAAACAATACAATTCGTCATACATCGATAACGTTTTTCGAAAGCTGGAGAGCGGAGTGGGAAATTCGCGCTCGCTGATAAATACACCGCATCTGTTTTTAAGTTAAAATTCTAATTAGCTGATTATTCAGGCCAGGGTTGTATTCGCTCTTTATGCATTTATTTCTAACGGCTCTATTTTGTTTATTATAATATTTTTAGTAAAATCAAATCTACGAATCGGTCTCAAATTACGCAAACTACCACCCCTAAAATTTACTGCCATAAGTTCCAGTAAATAACACTCTGTATAGATAACTTTTTATACAGTTTGTTCGGCGGGGATTATTAAAGAAACGTCGCGCTTTTTACGGGGCGATAATCCGTTTTGTTTGCAGATATACTTTTCTAATTTTCTCACTTCTATTCCCTCCTTTTTAAACAAAGGGAATTCGTTTAGTTTTCCGATGCGGTGGCAGCGCCACTTCCGCAACAGATGTGTCCGTTTTAATTAGCGCTTTTCTTTTTTCTACCATAGTTACTATTTGGGGTGCGGAAAATTAAAAAAAAAATACTTTCCAGTAAGTATAAAAGATATTAAAACGTCGCTATACTCCGTTCGCTATCGATAAGGAGCGTAATATTGGGTCATCTATACTCCGTTCGCGATCAAAAG